GTGAAACAGCATCTGAGTGTAATCAGAAACAGTGCCGGATTTTAAGTCGGCAGATTTTCATGGCCAACTCCCTTTACCACAAGCCGATGAACTTCCACCAAACCCCTCCAACTCCTAGCCAAATAATAATATTGACGACGGAGATAAGGAATCCATAGCCCCACCACTTGCCAAGCGGAACATAGTTAGCGCCATAGAAAACAGGTGCCGACCCAATACCATAGTGGGTAAGGCCACCCATGAGGTTGGAGAGGAATGCAAGCACCATCGCTCCAAAGTATGGTGGAGTACCAAGGGCACTAGCAACAGACAAGAATGCTGTAAACATTGCACCAATATGAGCAGCTCCGCTGGCAAAGAAGTAGTGTGAGTAGAAATAGAGAAGAACCAGAATGCCAAAAGACAGCTGCCATGAAAGACCCAATCCGCCAACAAACTGTAAAAAGAGCAGAATAGTTGTTAGTGACACTGACAACCAAAAGTAAAACACTGCACTTAACAACATACGGCAGAAGATTCATTAAGGTTGAGGTCATATAGCAGGACATATAACATTAGTGCACTAACGCAAGTGCGGTAGTTTACACCAGTAAAAGGAAACGTCCTGAAATCAGATGATGGATAACTAGCAGAGTGACTTGTAAGCTAGTTAACATTTCCCAGTAAATGGAAAAGTCCTGAAATCAGATGATGGATAACTAGCAGAGTGACTTGTAAGCTAGTTAAAATTTCTTATTGATTTGTAAGTCTCAAGCCAGTTATGGAAACTTGCGAAACTGAAATACATACAAATGATAACTATGAAAGGACCATAAATTAAGTGAGGATGAACCCACTTTTATGCAAGTAAGGTCTGCATTTGCTAAAAAAATTTCACCACAGAAACAAAGAAAGAAAAATGTAATGCTCATCTAAACTGCCAACCTACATTTATAAGCATGCACATCTAGGGGACCAGTAAGAGAAAAAGAAGACAAACCTTAACTACAGTTTGACTAAACCAGGAGATAAGACCGTATTTGTTGAGATACCCAGCCATTGCAATGAGTGCAGCAAACCAAGTAAGTGTGTCCCAAGCAACTGATTCAGCTAAGCACTCCTTCCATGTAATAACACCAGTAACAAGGAGAACAGATAATCCAAGAATGGCAGCAGTAACAGCATCCACATTCAAAACTCCTCCAAAAATCCAAAGTCCAACCTGATATATCACAGAGAAAAGGAGGTAAACTATGAGCATATATATTTTCAAGTGACAATATAGATGCATCCACAGAAACAGCATCAGACATTTGTGTACAAGTGTCAGTAAAGGGAAATAGTTTTACAGCATCAACTGAGTTATTACAAAAGTATTTTCAAGCTTAGGCTGCTACAACAATCAGCATGGCATAGGAGAATTAAAAGTGTAGTTATGACCCCTATCCACCCAGCTGCAAATGTCATACAGTAAATGCTAAACTCTGAAAACATACGCCATGAAAAGTTAATGGCAGGTGTTATCATCTACCAGTGCAGGCAATTTCAATATTTTCCTATAAACATTCAGTCCATTGAGCAAATCATATATTATTCATCATCTCTTTTGCATTTTTGGATCCTTCGCATTTCCTATCCTATGCTGATTTTAAACTTTACATGTACAGGAAACTTTACAATACAGGAAATTTCAATAATCTTTTAAGAAATACTTCATTGCATTCAGTAAGTAATATGAAGCTTGTAAAATCCCCATGTGACTATACTTCGTCGCTTTTTACTAACCTATACAACCACTAGAGGGGAAGCAAGATGAAAAGGGGATAATTAGTTGGTTAGTTAGAAACACGGTTGCTTAGAAAGGTGACTTTATCCTTCCATCATAAGTATTAACCTTTCCAAGAGGAGAACCTATCTTGACACGAGCTTTAACAGTGTCCTAAACTGAAGAGGGATGATGCCTAAGAAAGAAGCTGCAAGGAACAGCCTACAAGAGTTCCCACCCAACACACTGAGTTGGTAGACAATTCGAGAAATTTAAAACCTACAACCCCATAAAATACAATTCTCCAAACAAACCAAGAAACTTCTAACTACATTTGGCTAATTATTGCATTAGCAACTAAAAAGAAATGCGTACCGTAAGAAGCAGAGTGCCAGCCATTATAATCTCTTTGTTAGACAAAGGGCCCATCTTCTCCAGCCTCTCCCTGGCAAGCTTGGGCGCGTCGGGGCTACTCTTCACCTCCGGCGGGTAAATCACATACAACAACAGCGGCACCACAATCAACGACACCAAACCAGGCACAATTGCAGCTTTAGCCCAATCCGTCCACCCAATCGTCTGCTTAATCGTGTTGAAAGTCAAGTTGGCGCTCAATGGGTTAGCAGCCATGGCCGTCAAGAACATGGCCGACGAAATCACCGAAGTCTGGAAACACGTAAGCATCAACCACGACCCCAACTTTCCCTCTGTCCCGTCCCCGACATTGCTACCGCACGCAACGCAGAGCGACTTCACCAACGGCAAAAAAATTCCTCCGGCTCGGGCCGAGACGGATGGGATCGCCGGAGCCAACAGGGCTTCACTGAAGACCAGACTGTACCCTAACCCCAGAGAGGAACTACCGAAGAGGGAGACGAACTGGTACGCGATTCGATTTCCGAGGCCGGTCTTGATGAAGCCTCGGGCGAAGAAGAAGGCGAGGGCGATGAGCCAGGGGATTGGATCTCCGAAGGCAGAGAAAGCCGCCGCGAAAGTCAGCGTCTTAGTGAGGACGGAGGCGCCGAGGCCGAGCAAGGCGACGGCTCCGAGAGGCAAGGGCTGGGTGATGATGCCGACGATGGTGGCGAGGAAAATCGCTAGAAGCTGCCACGCGTTCTTGGTGACGCCGGCAGGAGTGGGCACGAACCAGAGGATTACGCCCGTCGCAATGGACGCGAGCAGAGGCTTCATGGCCGCGCCTTGCCATGGTTCCTTGGCCGCCGGAGTGATCGAAGAACCGCCGGTTGTCGCAGCGGCTTTGACGGAGAGGCCACGGCGGGGGGAAGAAAAGTCGCGGGTTAAATTTGCGAGTTTGGGGGAGGAAATGAGGGTTTTGTTGAAACCGAGACCGAGAGCGGCGGTTTTAAGGGAGTTTCGGCGGGTTTGGGAGACTGAAAACGGTTTTAGAAGTAGCGCTTTTGGGAAGGAAGCGTGGGATCTGAGAGAGGGGAGGGTAGGGGAGAGAGTGGCGGTGAGGGCGAGCGACGCCATTTTCGGGAAGGGGCTGGGATCTGCTGCGGCGGAGCTCAGAGAAGCAGCAGCAGAAGAAGTAGCATGTGTCGAAATGGAGGCGTTGAGGAGGAGGGAAGGGTATTTATGTAAAAGTAGAGGAGTAATGTGGGCCGTTGGATTTAAATCCGACGGAGTGGATTGGTGTTGGAATATACTGCTTTTTTTTCAAAACGGCGCTTTGGAAATGTCGTCTGGAGTGGCTGGTAGTTGATGGTTTGAAAATCGAAATCTCCGTCTAAAGTCTCAAGTCTCAACAACATCATCGACAGTGGCTGCTGCCTACTGAGTACTTTCGCTAACATGCGCCGGTGGAGGGGGTCCACGTGGAAGGATCTGAGTGGACTGGGGGCGTAGCTTTTCTCGTTGATGACGTGGGGATTGGGTCCACGTGGAGCGTTGGGATTGGCGGTGGAGTATTTGTCCCGCTCGTGGAAAAAGGCAAAGGTTCTGAGTGAGAAGCAGATGGCGCCAAGGGAAAGTGGAGAGTTGGAGGCGTGTAGGGAAGCGGCAGAGGAGATCTGCCTGCGCCAAGGGCCAGGGGTTTGAGGCGTGTGAAAAGACGGAAATGCCACTGATCAACAGGCACCACACAAGTGCACGTGGGCTAAAACGTAGCCTGGATCCTGCTGTCCCACAGTGTCTCTGCGTAAGCGCGAGGGCACTCGAGCGAATCTCCGGAACTACATAAATATATATTTCAATATATTGCAAGAATAAAAACAAAGTGTCGCTTTGGCCGAGTGGTTAAGGCGTGTGCCTGCTAAGTACATGGGGTTTCCCCGCGAGAGTTCGAATCTCTCAGGCGACGTATGCTTTTTCTTTTTTCATTTTTTCAGGTACTACCAAAGTGTGGCATCCAGCCAATTAGCAACGAGTTGTCTCAGTTTTCCTTAATTACTTTAGTAACACAATTTTTTATTTTTTTATTTTATGCCCTAACCAATAAATAAATCGTTAATGTTTTATTATATTTCATTGTTTTAAGGTTTCAATTATTTAGCAAACGGAGTTTGAGTGTGTGTGAGAAACTCCCCTTTGATTATATTTTAGACTACTACATGTACTAAAAAAATTAATCCTCCTCCTTTTTTTTTCTCTTTTTTTTTTGGTGAGATGGGGCCAAGAAGGCCAAAACAAAAAGACTAAACAACTACAACTTTAGGCCTAGCCAAGCTGCAAACATCAGCAACAAGGCTATTACAAACACAAGGAGGCGCCAGCTCAAACCGATGAAAGCCAGGAACCATATCATGACTCATGTGAGCCAAAACATCAGCAACAGAGTTTTGCTCACGAAACACATGAGTGAGAGAACAAAACCAATCCTGCTGCATCTTCAAATTGCAACAATTTATCAAGCTAAAAAGAGGATGAGTGGAAGCAATGGGACCAGCAAGAAGAGACACCACAGAGCTAGCATCACATTCCACCTCAACATGTCTGCAACCAATATCCCATGCCAAATGAAGCCCCCAAAAAAATACCCCAAAGCTCAGCCTCAAGAGTAAAACCAACACCCTGACTGACAACAAAGCCCGTAATCCAATCCCCCAGCATAATTTCTAATCAAGCCACCTGCCCCAATAGCACCAGAATCAAACTTCCGACTCCCATCAGTGTTGAGCTTAAAAATACCAAGAAGAGGGGCATGCCAATGCACCTGCACGACACACTTCTTAGGGGAGCTAAGCATAGGCTTACAAGCTGTAAACCAGTCCATAGCATACTACATAATCAACTTATGAGGCTCAGAAGGCATAACAAACCCAGCCTCAAAAACAACTTTACAGCGCCACTTCCAGATGAAACAGAGACAAACAGCAAAAACTAAGGACCAAGGCAAATTATCACAAACAACTTGTTTAGACTGCAGATTGTGCAAAAGCCAAACATCAAAATCACCCACATGGCAGTTAACCAACTTATCACTAAACCCTAAGCCACTTCAAATATCCATAGAGCAACAACAACCTATAACTAAATGCTCAATAGATTCTATAGGATAAATGCACCTGGGACAAGGAGCACAGGAAGTAAGGCCCCTTTTCTGCCTTTGATAAATGGTAAGCAACTTCTTATGGCACAACAGCCAAAGAAAGGTTTTAATCTTAGGAGGAATTTTAAGCTTCCAAAGAAAAGCCCGCTGCCACGACAGAACATTCCCTTCAAGAAAAATGGTATTATAAACTAACTTAATGGAGAAATCACCATTTGGAGTGCACTTCCAAATTCTTTTATCCAGACCACTCCCAAAAAAACCAGAATGAATGCTTAAAATCATCTGGACAATCTCATCAGGCAAACATTCCTGCAAACAATTCATATCCCAACAACCATCTTCCAAAAAATCACTTACGTTAAGTTGGAGCATTTCCTCAGATAAATCAATTAGAGCATGACTCTGCAAAGGACCACAGCTTAACCAAGAATCAGTCCAAAATAAAATATTATCACCAGAACCTACCCTCCATTGAAGACCATGAGGGAGAAGCTTAGCTTAGCACCATATAAAACACCCCTCCAAACACTAGAACTGCAACTTAAATGAAGATCCTTAGCAGCAAGAAGATCATACTGCCTCAAATACTTAGCATTCAAAACCTGAGACCAAAGGCCTTGATCATTCTGAAGCAATCTCCAACCAGTCTTAGCCAATAAAGCTTGATTCATCCAGGCAGTTTTCTTGATTCCCAAACCACCAACAGACTTAGCTTGACAAAAAGTATCCCAATTAACAAGATGAACCTTATTCTTATTTGCAGTATGGCCCCAAAGAAAATTCATATTTAACTGATCAAGTTTATCACAAATAGAGACAGGAAATTGAGCAGTTTGCATTGAATAAATGGGAATGGCAGAGGTAACTTACTGCATCAAAGTGATCCTACCAGCCATAGAAAGAGTATGACTCTTCCACGCAAACAACCTTCTTTGAACCTTATCAACGATCTCAAAATAAGTAGCCTTAGTAACTCTTTTATGAATCAAAGGAACTCCAAGGTATTTACCAAGACAATCAATAAGAGGAGAACCACTAATAGAAGCCACTTGGCGACCTAAATCATAGCAAGTATTTGGAGAAACACAAATCACAGATTTCTCAAAACTAACCCTTTGACCAGAGAGATTACAAAAGTCATCTAAGCACTGCTTCATAACCTTAACTTGAGTAACAGAAGCTTAACCAAAAAGGATCATATCATCGGCAAAGAATAAATGCGACACCATAGGACCCTCTTGATAAATCTGAACAAGCTTCCAGATTTTATCCTGAACTCTTTGCTGAATAAGATGAGAAAGTTTCTCCATGCACAAGACAAAAATATAAGGGGAAAGAGGATCACCCTGCCTAATCCCACATTTAGGAACAAATGCCTCCGTTAACTCACCATTCAGAACAGCTTTATACTGGACAGAACTAATACAAATCATAAGAAGCTCAAGAATCCTGCCTCTAATGCCAACTTCCCAAAACACTTCCCTAATAAAATTCCAGCTCAGACGATCATAAGCCTTGGATAGATCAATTTTCCAAGCAACAAACCCTTTTTTCCCTTTCGAAATTTTAAATTTATGCAACATTTCCTGAGCCACAACAATATTATCAGTAATATATCTGCCTGGCACAAAACTCACTTGAGTGGGACTAACAAGCTTAGACATAAGAGGTCTAAGTCTTGCAACAAGGATCTTAGAAACCACTTTGTAAAGAGTGTTACACAGACTGATAAGCCTTAATTAAGGCATAGAAGTAGGCCTCTCAACCTTAGGAACCAAAGCAATCAAGGTATCATTGAGATGCTCAGGAAGAGAAGCAGTTATAAAACAATCCTTAACAACTGAGATGATATCACTAGAACAAAGATCCCAAAAATTCTGCTAAAAAATAGCAGGGAAACCAACTGGCCCAGGGGTTTTAAGACCTCCAATAGCAAACAAACTATGTTTAATTTCTAATTCAGTGACAGTGCCACTTAAACCAGCTAAATCATCACAACCAAGTTGAGGAAACAATTGAGGAAGCGAAGAATACTCACCAGCTGAAACAGAAACATTAAACAACCCTTGAAAATAATCACAAACAATCTGCTTCATACCATTTTTCTCAGTCACCCACACTCCATCATCATTATTCAACCCTTCCAATTTATTCCTTCTCCTTCTGATGACAGTAGAAAGATGAAAAAACTTAGTGTTCCAATCGCCTTCCCTCAGCCAAAACATCTCTTCCTGATCAAGAATGAGATTATACTCTTTAGTCAACTCAACCTCAAGATTACAGAGATAAGGATTGAACTGCAAACACAACTTTCGCTGAATACCCGCAAGCCTAGCTAAAAGACTCTTTTTCTTTCGAAAAAGACAGCCAAAAACATGCTTATTCCAATGATGGAGAGAAGGAATAAGACTAATAGATTTATGAACAGCATGGCCCTCACTAAAACTCCAAATATAAGAAATGAACTCAGAGAAATCAGGATGGCTTAACCACATAGCTTGAAACCTAAAAGGCAAAGAAACTCTGGATGGGGCATGATTTGACAATAATTTCACCAAAAGAGGGCAATGATCCGAATTAACCCTAGGAAGATGAGATAAATGAGCTTCAGGAAACAAAAGCCGCCACTCAATGTTGCATAAACCTCTATCAAGCCTTTTCCAAATAATACCCTCAGAATTCCTTTTGTTACACCAAGTGAAATTGGCTCCAGAGAAGCCTAAGTCAACAAGATGATTACAATCAATCCAATCAATGAAACTGTTGGAGCAGGATTTCTTTCAAGAAGAAATACCTCCACAGGTTCTTGACTGAAGTCCGCACGCTTCCTTAGTCGAAAGAGAACTCCGGATTACGTTCCCGGAATCGAACGATGGAAAGGGGGTGAGTACCTGCAAAAGTCACTCCGACGCTCAAGTCAGTGTTTGTGCAACGTACTCTTAGTGTTCGCTTCAATTTCACGTACCTTTGCTGGAGGTCTAGCTAGGTTTTTATAGCATTCCGAGGTCGTGGGTTTAGCCCCACTTCCCTAGCTTTGCGCGTCCCGTCCTCCACTTCGTGGTAATGGAATCAGACGAGCAATTTGAGTCTCCTTGCTGGAGGTCTAGCTAGGTTTTTATAGCATTCCGAGGTCGTGGGTTTAGCCCCACTTCCCTAGCTTTGCGTGTCCCGTCCTCCACTTCGTGGTAATGGGATCAGACGAGCAATTTGAGTCTCCCTTGTTCTGCACTCCTCTAATGGGAGGGAAGTTTGCTCATCCCACGTTCTTTAGTTGTGGCATATGGGTTATGTTAGATTTTGTCCCCACAGTGCCCCTCTTTTTTCCTCTCTACACGCTTCGCGGGTGGATAGGGAAAAATGATCAAAGTAAACATTCTCTCTCCTGGCCGATCCCATCCCCACTTGGGCTTGGGCTTTTGCCAATCCGTCCAATCCTATATTCTCTCTTACTCTCTCTCCTGGCCAATGCCACATTCTCTCTCTTGGCCGATCCCATCAAGTTTGGGCTTTTGCCAATCCCATCCCATATTCTCTCTCCTGACCGATCTCATATTCTCTCTCCTGACCGATCTCATATTCTCTCTCCTGACCGATCCCACATTCTCTCTCCTGACCGATCCCACATTCTCTCTCCTGGTCGATCCCATCAAGTTTGGACTTTTGCCAATCCGATCCCATATTCTCTCTCCTAGCCAATCCCACATTCTCTCTCCTGGCGGATCCCATCAAGTTTGGACTTTTACCAATTCGATCCCATATTCTCTCTCCTCGCCATTAAGTTTGGACTTTTACCAATTCGATCCCATATTCTCTCTCCTAGCCAATCCCACATTCTCTCTCCTGGCCAATCCCATTAAGTTTGGACTTTTGCCAATCCGATCCCATATTCTCTCTCCTAGCCAATCCCACATTCTCTCTCCTGGCCGATCCCATCAAGTTTGGACTTTTGCCAATCCGATCCTATATTCTCTCTCCTAGCCAATCCCACATTCTCTCTCCTGGCCAATCCCATTAAGTTTGGACTTTTATCAATCCGATCCCACATTCTCTCTCCTAGCCAATCCCCACATTCTCTCTCCTGGCTGATCCCATCAAGTTTTTTTTTGTTTTTGTTTTTTTTTTTGCTCCAGCTATTCATACAGACCCCAAATACCCCTTAGCTGTCCTTCCGAACCCGTGTGCCTTCGGTCTCTCCGCCAATCCAAGGTGTTCACGACTCTTTTTTTTATTTTTTTTGGCATGGTTCGCTTTAGCTATCCGTGCTCTAGTCTTTGCGTGAAGGGGTGAACAAGCTTAGCTCCGTAGGTGTACCTTGCACCACTTATTGTCTGCATCTGCTGAGTGCATGCAGCTTTCTGCATGCGTTGGGTAGAAATAAATTCGAGCTATCATATCATACTAAGCTTTGTTGTCAGAGCCTGAAGCAAATATCTGAACCAGCCACATCCAGCCTTATCCTTGCTTTCGACAGACTTTCCCGTGACTTATATGAATTATCTTACCAACCCTTCGCCTCCGCTATAAAAGTTCGGTTGATGGGGGTACATTCACTCGCAAAACCATGTGCTCTTGTTCCTCATATTCAAGCCTCAGGCGTGAAAGGAGAGGAAAGTGTTCTGTGCATTTGAGAACTCCGCCGAAGGGATCTTGTTTCTGCCACCACCAAGTAAGTACTATTTTCATCTTTGCTATTTTTCATGTGGAGCCACGAGATTTGGCCCAAATCCGGTGGCGTCCCACCGAACTATGAGATACTTAAGGCTCGCACCAAAGGATGTGTTCCCGACAACGTAGGGGTCGGTCCTCTTCCTCTGGGGGCGAATATGTACACTGGTGCCGGTATCCCTCAGGGTTCCTTAATTCTCTCGCCGGCCCACTTAGAGTATGTTAGGTTCCCGCTCCATCCCCTCTTTCATATGCTCTTATTCTACTTAGGCCTTCACCCCATGCAACTAAACCCGAATTCTTACCTTCTCATATCTGGATTTCTAGCCGTCGGTTTGAAATGGGGTGTGTCCCTTAGCTTTAAGGATTTCTAGCCGTCAGAGGGGAAAGTCATTATTTCTTCTTTACGTCCGGATCGGGTAAAAAGGTATTTACTTGTAAGCCCACTTCCGCTAAGTACTGGAAAAACCAACCTCTCTTAATCACTGGGGAGTGGGCGGCGCCAGAGATGTCTAACATGCCTATCCCGTCGGCATTTGGCCCAAAACCTGGTATATATATTTATGTCTTTGAAACATAGCATATTGTGTTTTTGCAGGTTTAACTAACCTCTTATTTTGGCAGAACTTCGTTTGGATAAAAGATATCTGATTCCTGAGGACCGAATTGCTTGGTTGGAGGACAATTTGGCTGGTCAAGGGGGGGACATTATGCACTTTGTCGATCCTGCGACACTCGTTCGTCTCTCCACTGCTCATCGTACGTTGATTTATTTGCCGTTCACTTTGGCCGATTCGAACCTACGCGAAATAGACTTGTTCAAGGACATTTGCTCCGTCGACATTGAGCTTTGTTGTACCGAGGATTCAGCGTCTCTCATCCAGGCCAGCTTTCAAGAAAGGGAGGTTGAGTTAGCTCAGCATAGCATCTCCGAAGACTACGCATCCGGGTCCGAGTCTGACCAGTCAGATATGTCGGCACCACGCTCATTGTCAGTCCCAGGCCGTAGGGAAAGGAGATCGGGAAAAGAGCCCGAGTCCTCTGGGTTTGCGAAGAAATCACGCCATGCTTCACAGGTCGTTTCGGGGTTTGGGTTCACCCAATGCGTCTGCTTCGAGTACACCATCCCGACCTCAGTAAGGCCCTTGTGCCCCCACTCCTGCTAGCTCATTGGGAGAGAACGACCTCGCGTCCATGACTGACGAACAAATGTGGAGTTATCAGTCACTGTGCTTGAACGCGGTACGTTTGAGATTTGTACTTGTGTCATCCAATTGCCATGTCCTATCATAATTGCCTGTTTAACGCCCCACCTTTTACTTCTTGCAGATGGCTGGAATTCGCAACAAGCAAATGGCGAGGTTTCAAGCTATGAGCCGCGAGATATGCGAAAAAACGGCGACCCTCGAACTTAGCGGGAAGCGCATCAAGGAGTGTGAGGATGAGCTCGAGCAACAGCGGGGCGAACTGCGAACTCTGAAAAGTGGCCAAAGCACTGTACTGATGGAGGTTAACCGTCTTAAACAAGAACTGGTGGATGCCGCACGCAGTAGGGACGAGGAGTATGAAGCCAACACCAAACAGATCAAGGTGGAGGTGGCCAGGCAATTCAGATATGGTTGGGTTCAAGGTCAGCAGCTTCCTGAGCACTGGTTTGTGGTGAGCCCAGATGACTATGATGATGAGTTGGGCTTTGACCCCGCTGGTTACGAACTTTTTCAGGGTATGCACCCTGCGGACCGTCCTCTGGCGGATTACGTCCCCCATCGCAGGATCTCACCAGCGGCCTTTCATGGGTCAA